GTCAGGTTTTATTTTGTTTTGTCTTATTTGATTTTATTATATCCAATGTCATGGACAGCTGTTTCAAAGAAAAAAAATATGGTAGCCATTTTGGATTTACTAGTATCTTGGTTTGAAGTCCTTCATTGCAATCATTGTTTTCTTTTTATCAGTTCTATTCTGTTCGTTGATTTTTACTATGTGTGAAGGTATGCACAGCTGTTTTGAAGTCAACAAGAGGCATTATGGTAACCACTGTTGATTTCCTACTGTCTTTTTTTTTTATCGGTGCTGGGGATTGAACTCAAGACCGCATGCTTGCAAGGTAGGTGCTTATGCTGCAGAGCTAAATCCCCAGCCCCCTATTGTTTTATTTTGAAGTCCTGTATTACTTATTTTGTTTTGATTTGCTTTATTATGTTTTATTTGCTTGTTTTTTTTTCCTCTTTAAAATTAAAAAAAAAAAAAGAAATTCCATTTAGGATTTCTAATGGAGATTACAGCAACGTGGAGGAACACCAGGTCAAGGAAGACCTGAGCCTGGGAGTTGAGTGCAGGCTTCATCAATGGTCAACATGTAGATGATGGAGCCAGAACTAGGAAATAAGCAGGGTATGGAAACAAGATGGCCAATTGGGTGGTCGGTTGGAAGAAACAACTAAATAGAAGAAGGTGAGAAAGAAGAAGCTGGAGAAATAGAGGTAGAAACTGAGGGAAAATGTGGAGGACCACTGGGAAGGCTTCCCTTGAAAGAGGACAGTTTGCATCCCTTATGATTCACCTTTGCCCTACTTCCGCATACTGATATGTACAGAGCTGCTTAGGAAAATGTTCTACTCTCTTAAATAAGCAATGTAAATGGATCTAAATGAGGCTTGATGAGTAGACTGTGAAGTGATGGGACAGGTCAGTGATGCCCTGCCTATATCTCCCTACAAAGCATGAGCTAGGTCAACAGAGCCGTTGCAGGAACTGACTCTCTCAAGAAAGAGGCTGTGACATCCCAGGAGAAGAAAAGCTAGACATCAGAGCTGAAGCAACTGACCCAAAACACAACCTGTGTTACGCAGATGCCTCCAAACTTAGAGGCTACCTGTTACCTGAATCTGGTGCTCTTTTTGCATAGCTCTCTCTTCTTATTGGAGAGGTGCCATTGTGTCTCCTACCTAGCCTAGTTCACAGGACTCAGTACTTCCTGAGCCATTCTGTCACTCAACCCCGAGCTACTCCCCTCTTCATGAATTAATAAAACCTGGGTTCACCCTGGCCTTTGTTCCAGTTAGCCTTTGTTCTGAACTTAGGACCCCCTTGGCTTCCCACAACTGCAGATACATCTTTATGTCTTTATTCTCGCTGTGGGTTGCAATGGAAGTGGTAGATTGGAATTTATTTGCAAGAATCTCAATAACTTTTTCCTGGGATTACAATTGTAAACTCCTCCCAACTGTGACAAAGTCTAGAGAGATTCAGATAGGAAAAGAGTTTGGACTGCTGAGCTAAAGAAATTGTTTTGGGGTTTTAAGGTAATCTCTCTCTGCTGCCGAGGCTGGTCTTGGACTCATGAACTTAGGCAGTCTTCCTGCTTGAAGGACTAAGAAATGATTATTGCTCAATACAGAGGTCACAAAAGGAATATGCAGAGTTGGAAAAACAAAGTGAACTCCTTTTGGGACCACTGATTTTGTGGTGTCCCCAGGACATTCAGATGACAATATACAGAGGGCTTATTGAGTGTAAGAGGCCTGAAGCTAGAAAGAATGATATGAGGTGGTGATAAACAGGCCGGCCAAGACCTGGGACTGTAATTCTAGGTCTGTCTTTGTTTGCATGGTTTGGAAAAGTCATGCAGGTTTCCCTGGGCTCTACTTACAATCTCTAAAATGGTGACAGTGGTGTTTTATGTAAAGGGCTCAGTACTACAATTGGCTCATATGCCCTCATTCCATGGTGCTGACATGCTTATCACCCTTACATTATTAAGAATTAGACACAACATGTACAAAGTATGAGACACTCAATATGTGACTTTTATTATTGTCATAGCTGGGAAACTGGTCGGTCAGAATGAACAGTAAGAAGAGAAGGGCGTTGAGAAGAAATGCAACCAGAACCACCACTTGATGGGTGACACAGAGGAAGCAGGGCAGCACAGGCATTGTGGGAAAGCCTGAGAAGAGCAGAGACCAGCCACTCAGAGGCAAGGAAGGAGGGGCCAGTTATGTCAGATATCACAGAAACTAGCCATTGCACTTGGTCGCTATGAATCCACTGATGACTTTGGAAAACAATCTAGATAGTTGGGTGTTGCGGTATGTGCCTGTAATCCCAGCACGGATAACGCTAATGTAGAAGGATCACTTCAGTGTGGGCTACATACTGAGTTTACGATCAGCCTGAATTACAGAGCAAAACCTTGTCTCAGAAAAAAAAAAAAAAAAAGAGAGGGAAGGAATTCCAACTATTTATGAAGTGTGAACAGGGCTGAGGTGATGATGAAGAAGGTGATGATGAAGAAGGCTAGTCGGGAAGGGGAAGGACGAAGGTAGTACCTAGGAACTGGGAGGTATCTGATGGAAGGAAGGTTTATTCAGGATCAAAGAGAGAGAGAGAATAGCTAAAAGTTAGAGAGAGGAAGTATGAAAATAAATAGCCACAAAGAAATACAATTAGACTTGGGATCTGAGGAGACTGGCAGAGCTAAACCCCAGGGTAATGGATTAATAACGATTAAGGGATGCTGTTTACTGAATGAAGAGTTTAGTGACTATGAAGATGTTAGATTCCCATCAGGACTGTCCACCTCTCTCCTACGACTTTCTATTGCATTCCTATTCCTCTAGGCACTTTAATTTCTGGGAAATTAAATTTACACAGGGTAAATTCTTTTAGTAATCAGACCCAATAATAAATCCAGTTCATGCAATTCTTTTTGAACTGTTTCAAGCTTCTTGCATGCATATGCAGGTACGTGTGCATTTGTGTGTAGGTGAGTAGGTTAGGGCCTTCTGCATGCTGAGCAGGTGCTCTACCTGAACTTAAAAGCAAATACATATTTAATTCTAATTAATTTACTGAAAGAGACATAAGAAAAATAGATTCAAGGCTGGGGATTTAGCTCAGTAGTTTAAGGGCCTGCCTGGCAAGCGTAAGGTTGTGAGTTCGATCCTTGTACCAAAACAAGTAAAGAATAGAGTCAGACTAGAAATATGTTTGGAAGTTTGAGACAAGAAAGGTAAATCCAGGGATACGGCTCAGTGACACAGTGCCTGCCTGGCAAGTGCAAGGTCTCAAGTTCAATTCCTGGTACATAAAAAAGGAAAGAAAGAAAAAGAAAAAAAGAAAGAAAGCAAGAGGTAAAGTGTCAGTAAAAGGTTGTTCCATTACAATAGAATACTATGAACATCTGTAAGGAGATGACTGGCTGCTAGAATTTGTTAAACTTTGTTTGATATCTTCTTCCCACCAAATAAACCTCATCAAACTCTAAACCATCCCTATCGGATCCTGTCGTCTTCTCGTTCAAAACCACTTGAGCAATTTTTCATCATTCTTGGTATAAAACAAAGATGGCAACCCTTTTAAAGACAAGTGCCCAAACTGCAACCCCAAACTCACTTATTTATTGTAAAATGCCAACACTACAATGAAACCTGAATACTGAGGTTTCAGTTCAGAAAAAAATCATACCTTATTATCTATTATCTTAAAAGAAAAACTAATAGCATGTGTGCCATAAATTCACCCACCACTGGAATAAAATGAAAATTCTCTAAGGGCTTCCTGCAGGTGTGGTCCCAAGACACTCCCATTTCAAATCACCTTAATTGTTTACACTTTGGGATTTTTCAAAGTACAGTTCAAGTACATTGCTTGTGTACCTTGGAACTCTAGGCAAACTGTTCTTTCTCCCTGTAGATTTCCATCCCCCTCAAAAGGCACCTATTTTGATTAAATGTAGGCTAATTTTAATTTCTCTTCCTGCTCTAAACAACACATTAGGAAAAATCAATACAGTATAATGAATCCCGGAAATTGCTAGCCATTTCATGACTTTGTGCAAGTTGCTTAACGTATTTGCTTCTGTAAGTATAATTTGGAGATTATCTTAGTCACTTTTCTTCACGCTAGGACAGTATCCAACATCCACAATTCAAAGATAAGGTTTATTTTGGCTTCTCTTTCAGAAATTTCAATCCATGCTCAGCAGGCCCAAACACATAACATAGAATCGAGAAGGGCTTGCCACACGGTTTTAGCAAAGTTGTACATGCCATGGTGACCAGGAAGCAGGAAAGTAAAAATGAACGAGAGAGTGAAATAATTTTTCCACGCATCTCACTAACCCAATGTCCTCCGACCAGAACCCACTTCCTAACTGCAAGTCAGCTGTAGCGCCTCTATAATCCAAAAACCTTCCAAACGCATGAGGTTTTGGGCGTCATTTTAGATCTAAACCATAACAGGGATGGTAAAAAGATAGTTTGAAGATTAAATTTATTAACATAGATGACAAACATGGCAAACAATGGAAGTGCTCATTTTAGCATATCTCTTACATATTTGTTTGCAGTTTGAGTCAGTTACCTTGAGAATAGTACCCACCTCATCCCCTGATGATTAATCAGTTTACTTGTTGAACAATGTCAATGAATTAACTGAGAGTTTGAGGAAAGGAGACTGGTCTTTACAAATTTAGGAAAGGCGATGTTGGGTGATCGTGTAGAACAAGACATGGCGGAAGTCCGGGATACACACTAGTCTAGTTTAGCTTTAGAAAAGGGAATCTCAGTCCCAGGTATAACCGCGGACCCACCGCAGGACAGCAGCGGAGAAGAAACCCCACTGCTAGACACTGGGGCAGAGGAAGAGGAATCCGTTCTCAGCATTTCTCGGGAGGGCATCAACTCCACCCCTTGCTTCAGCCGGGCCAGAAGGACCCAAGCGGAAGATCTACAACAGCCAATAGCCGGGACTGTCCCGCCTTCATCCTGTTAACTCTTTGCGATTGGCTACTCACTGTGCCGCTCTTCTTGCTTCCCCGCCCCCGCACAGAGTCTTCACGAGGATTGGCTACCTGTACTTTAGATCCGCCCCCGCCCGCGCGGCCTTCCTAGTTTCTGCGCAGTGAGCAGGTCACCGGCCTTTTTGTCCCGGGAGGTTGATGGTGAGCATCTCTGGCTTTTAGTCTCCTAAGGGGAGCGATCCCAGTCGGCCTGTGGGTCCGGGTAGGAGTGGGGCTCGCCCCGTGTCCCCTCGAGCTTTGCCCGCCCGGAGCTCCGCTGCTCCTGGTGGCCAGAACGGAGGGGTAGAGCAGCTCTCGGAGGCCCGGGGGGCGGGCGTCAGGCTCGTTCCGGGGCCGCGCGAGACACAGGCGTCCCGCGCGCGAGGCCGCCGGAAGTTCTCCTGGGCTGGCCGCGCGCGGTGACAAGCTTGCGCTTTGCTTTCACAGAGAGGATCCGCCGCTACCTTTTAGAGGGTTGCGGGCGGGCCTTGCCAGCGGGTGCAAAAACCCAGGCCAGAGCCGACTTTGGCCCCGGGAGTTTGTCTCCAGCACACGCGGAGGTCAGCAGCCTGGAATTCCAAGTGCAGGTATGTCCCTGATTTGGAATGAGGTGACGCGATTCGGGCCTCGAGCGCGTGGCCAGTGGCCACGAGAGGGTTCCCAAGCACATGGTTGCGCAGAGGCCCGAAACCCGGAATCCATGGTAAAGAAATTTATGTTCACAGACTCAACCTGCACAACAAGTGCATTTAGTGTATTTTAAGACCAGTTAGTGAAACTGTTGAGTCCATCAGGTGTTAGCAGAGCACACTTAAAAATCTCAGTCACCCTTTCCTGTGCCCTTTTAAGGTTGATACAGTGCCTTAAGAGGCTAACACAGAAGGGTACAGGAACCCTCCATAAAACCCAGAGAAGAGACTTACGCTCCTCTTTGGATCCTGTCTGGAGTCACAGCTGAATCAGAAGTTTTACTTTTTTTATTTTTTTGTCTTTTTTGAGACGGGGTCTCACTATGCAGTTCAGCTCACTTTGTAGCGCAAGCTGATCTCAAACTCGCATGATCCTCCCATCTCAGCCTCCCAAGCGCGGGGATTACGGGCGTGAGCCACCACGCCCGGCTAGAAGTTTTATTAGTTGTAAACAATACTGTGATGTGGGTAGTGCTACATTTAAAATTAATCTTTGCTTCTGTATCTTTGGCCAGCCACTATAGGTTGGTCTGGGATACCAGTTTTTATAACCTGGTATAATTTGGCTTTCTTTCGAGGTACAGAAACACAGAAGACAAGCACATGTATACCTAAGGCTTTTCTAGAGTACTAATTGAGACAAACTGAAAAAATACACTTCAATGTTTTTTACTTGTTTAAAAGATCATTTTAAAACTTCTCATTCTTTTTATAGGTTGAACACAGCCAATGCAAGCCGTTGAAGCTGGGGTGCTGTCCTGGTATTTCATCTAATACTAATTGTCATTATAGTACAACAGGAAAGTGCCTCTAATGAGGTGAGATATCCATAAGTGTACCTGGTGTGGTTAAAAAAGAAAACAGTGAATGTTGGATGGCATTTGGCTGTCCAACAGAAAGGCAGGGATCTTCAATAGAAGAGCACATCAGCCCTAGTAACGGTGTGTAACAAGTTTCAACTTGCTTGGGGCAATCAATCTGAGCACTGGTTGAGAGGAGTGTTTTTAAAGTAGCATAAATGATGGATCATGAACAACGCATTAACATGAAATTTTGTTTCAAACTGCAAAAAAGTGCTAAAGAAACACATGAAATGTTAAAATTAGTGTATGGAGATGCTGCAGTGACCAGAAAGACAGTTTACAAGTGGTTTGAGCGGTTTCGCAAGGGTTGTGAATCTGTTAACGACGAGGAGAGATCGGGACGTCCTTCAACATCCAAAACCCGAGAGAATGTTGAAAGAGTAAGCGAAATGATTCGATCAAACAAACGACTGACGATTAGGAAAATTTCAGAGGATCTGAACATCTCTTATGGTACCGTACAAAGCATTTTAACCACAGATCTGAACATGAGGCGAGTGAGCCCGAAATGTATCCATATACAACCACAGGAGATAGAGCAATAGGACAGTGTCGGTGGCGACAGGGCAGTGTTTCCCTTTCATTTAACTGACTGAGGTAGGTACTATGCTCCCATGTTGCAATGAAGAAATGGTTAGGGAGCTCTGGTTCTCACTGCCTGTGAATAGCTTTGAATAAGGAGCCTCAGATGTGGAACTTGGTAGCTGTGTGAGTGATGTGATGTCTTGAAGTTTGATTTTATATAGCAGTAGAAAAATATTTAAGTCGAGTAGTCTAGTTTGGAGGGAGCAACCCACAGAGCTGTTAAAAAGAACAGAAAAGCTCATCATAGTATTTAATTGCATTGAAACTATTTCTCAAAATCGACCAAAAGGAGCATCTGTCAGCATGTTAATTTTTAAATGTATGTGATATAATAAATTGTAAAAAGGCTCTAAAGGACATGATTAGGAGATGTTAAGTATCAGAGGTGACAATTCACATGTCAGAAAAATGGAAGTCTGGTAAGATGCTCAGAGCCCACTACAAGTGCATTCCTTGTACTCAGTCTGCATGTCTAGCAATTAGAGATTTTTTTATTAACTTGAATGCCAATTACATATGCATTTTCCAGAAATTTTAAATAAAGATATTTTATATTTATTGGTGTCCTTAATGCTTTTTAAACTTTTTTCTATCCCACATCATACTCTAAAGTCCAGCTTCAAATGCTTTAGGACTTGTTCAGTAAATACTGCTTGTTATAATTAATGGGACCAGTATGAGGGAAAGGCCTTCACCATTTGTGACAGGACCAGCCAGGGAAGGACTTCCGTAAGTATTAAGACCTCAGATATACACAATTAGGGGAGGAACATTTCAGGGAAGGGGAAAATATGCATAAAAACACTGAACAGGGATGTTTTAATATGCAGAGTTGCTCAAACCAACTGTTCTCCCATCAGTCCTTCCTATACATGAATGCTTTGTTTGAATTTACGTAGCACTCCGTTGTAGCATTAGAGAAATTTAATGTGCAGTTACATATATGCTTACTAACTGCCTACCCCTTACATTCAGTGTGTGGGTTCTATACTATTAGATCTGGTCTTGGTCCAAGTAGATTTATACCTTATTCTAGGTTCTTGAATATTTTAAGTCCTGAGGTTCATGACTCATGCTACAGGTTCAGGGGTAGCATCGTTCTTTTGAGCTGAATTAAATAGGACATTTGAGTGTCTTTAATAGTTACCTGTTCATAGAAGTAGCATAATAAGAGACTTCTAAATCTTAGCCTTCCATGTGATTTTAGACCAATTGGTAGCTTCAGGTAAGATTAAATCAGATCCTTGAAACATTTGAGTAGCAAGTACTCAGTAAATACTAGGTTAGTTGGTAATATTTAATTTTTATAATAAAATGTGGTTAGTGTGATTTGGAGCAAACTAATGTTTATCAGTATGTAATACTAGAGTACATTCAACAAGTAATGGGGTGTTCAACTATAGGCCACAAGGTATTCTAGGTATTACGGATATACTAGTGAATAAAGTAGACCAAACAATATAGTTGCTTGTACATTTCCAACTGTTCCAGTCACAGGAATACAGAACATTCCCATTATTGCAGAGTACTTGGTTTCTTTAGAGTGCTTTGATTCATTGGTAGGCCTCTAGTGTAAAGGACTGAATTTTCCTTAATGCTATTTAGCAGTGACAAAACTGACTTGTTAGCAGAGTGGGAAGAGTAGGGTATTGGTAGGACAAAAGGCCTGTAGGAAGTGTCTTCCTTATAATGCTAAGTAGGTAAAGTTGAGAAAGCCCTAAATTCTGGTAGAACAAGGAGTGTTCAAGACAACATCTGTGTCAGCAGTGGTCTATTGAGGGGATGCCAGTGTTCCCTAGGTGTGGTCATGATGAAAGATATGAAACTATTATACAGTGTGCAAGGTCTGACAGAAGGCTCTAGCCAGTAGTTTTCAAGCATAATTGCTGTCTTCCCGAGCCATTCCTTTCTATTAAGACCTAGTAGTGGTTCTTTTCCCGGAGTTACTTGACTGAAAGAGAATATAAAGGTGCTAGGTACTGGTCTTACCCCCTTCCCAACTTGAACCAGTTCAGCCCAGTCACCTTGTTTTTCCAGGTTTTATAAATTAGAAGTTCACTGGACTGATTCTCTAACCAGAAAGAAACTGGAGAAAAGTTACTTCAGAATTTAGAATTACAGAGGTACTGGAACTGCTTAGTATGGCTGTTTAAGTGAAATAAAAATTAAAAATTCAGTTGGATTAGCCACATTTCTTTTTTCTTTGGTGGTGCTGGGGATTGAGGTCAGGGCCTTTTGTGTGCACACCAGGCAAATGCTCTAGCGCTGAGCTACACCTCCAGCCCCCTAAGCCACATTTCAGATGCTCAGTAATTGTGTGAAACTGGGGCCACACATGGAACATTTTCATTTCTTCATTTTTACTGGCACTACTGTTACCTACATTACACTCGTTTTTACTGGCGTTGCTGTTACATGCCTTACATGGTGCAACCCAGATTAAGGATTTTTTAAACTAGGGATTAAACCCAGGGCCTTCTCATTGTGCTTTATCTGCCCTTTTTTCCATTTTTAAAAATCAATTTAGGGCCAGGGACTTAATTTGGTGGCTCAAGTGCTTGCCTGGTAAGTGCAAGGTCATGAGTTCAATCCCTGTACCGTAAAAAAAAAAAAAAAAAAAAAAAAAAAGTGAAACAAAAAACTTAAGATAGGGTCTTGCTAAATTGTCCAAGCTGGACTCGCCAGCAATGCTGCAGCCTTACCCTCCTTGAGTGCTATGATTAGAGGCGTGTGCCACCACACATGGCAAGATTAACAGATTTCACGTGGGAAGATGATTATCCTGGATAATCCCCGGGGCCCTACTTGCACTCACACAAAATCCTTAATAACAGGGAGGCAGATGGAGACTCCACAGACAGATAGGTAGCCACAGTGACCTTCGAATATGGGAGTGAGGCAGTCACTAGAAGCTGGAAGATAAATGTGTTCACCAAGACAGTCGATAAGCCTCCTGAGGGAGTATGTACGCAATTTTGTTACTGGGTTTTGGGGTGCTAGATTTCTAGGTTCTCACTATGTCAAGACAAGCACAAATAGCAAAGTTTTACATTTATTGAAGATAGCAGCCATCCTGCTGAAAACCTGCTGGAGTTCTAAGAAGTCCTTGTGCAGGGCTCTGGGAATTACTCTGCTCATGTGTCCTGGGATTTTATAATTAAGTCATGCCTGCTTTCCCAGCCAGCCTTAGCCTGACCTCCTGTCATTTGGTCTAAGAAAATGACTTCCAGTTTTGGGAAAATGAATTTCTGTTGTTTTAAGCCACCAAGAGTATGGTAATTTGTTATAGTGACCACAGAGAACTAACAGAAAAATTCTAAGAGCGCAAATAACTGCTGCCCTTGGAATCTCATCACAGCAGACTGCCTCCCACACTTTTTAGTAGTGCCTGATGAGTGGGTGGGAATAGAGCTTTTCTATTAGTCAGTGTCTAAGTGTCAAGTAAGGCAATGAATTTTAAAAAATGTTAAGAGGCTGAGGATTTAGCTCAGCGGCATAAGTACCTGCCTTGCAAGCAGGCAGTTGTGAATTCGATCCCCGGTACCGATAAAAATGAAAAAAAGACAAAAAAAATTTTAAATTCAGATAAAGGACTGTTGTGATATACTGGAGAAGTGGGTTTCAGAAGCACAACCTGAACCGGGTATAGTGGCTCACACCTATAATCCCAGCACTCAGAGGAGGATCATGTCAATTTCAAAATCTGCCTGGGCTACAAAGTGAGCTCAAAGCCAATCTGATCTACGTGGCGAGACCCTGTCTCAAAAAGACCAAAAAAAAAGGTCCATTATTAAATCCAGAAAAATGCTGGGCAAGTGATATTGTATACAATTATGGGAAAAATACCTACTTGTTTGGAGCACTGGTCCCAAACTTCTTAAAGATTTTCTCAGACTAACCAATAACACAAGACAACTGCATCTGAACATTTTTTTTCTATTCTGTCCTGCCTGATTTCAAGCTGCTTAGTTGCTTCTGAGTCTTGCTACAATTCCCTGGCCCTCCATTACAGCAAGCATCTTAGTGTATGTAATTGAAATTAGAATTCTGCTTCCAGAAGAAGTTTTTTAGTTTTATTTTATTTATTTATTTTTGAAACAAGGTCTTGCTATGTGGTGCAGACTGGCCTTGAACTCACTTATGTAGCCCAGCAGCCCTTGAATTCACAGTGATCGTCCTACCTCAGCCTCCTGAATGCCAGGCTCACAGGTATGCACAACCACTCCAGGCTTCAGAACAAGTTTATAAAGATACTCATTATGGCCACTCTTGACTTGGTGAGCTTAGTTTTGGTGGATTACTTTCTCCAGCAGCACAACCATTGGTCACACTTAAGAGACCTGGCTGAACCTTATACTTTCCACTTGGCTTTACTTCAAAGAGCTCTCAAAATCGGGGGTTCAGCCAGGTGTGAGGGTGTACACCCCGCTCTCAGGAGGCTGAGGCAGAAATGTTGACTGAGTTGAGCCAGCCTGGATTACATAAAGAAGTTCAAGACCAGTCTGCATTACATAGCAAGGCCCTATGATAAATAAATAAATAAATTGAGTTTTCAGCATGTAGTTTGTATTCATCGAGTAGCAAAACTTAATAAACCATCATTCCCCCAGTGCTGCTCTAACCTGCCTTAACAAAGACCTGAAGTTGTCCTAAAGACTTGGATTGAAACTGAACAGTGAGATGACTGGCTCTTCAAGAATACTGAAACCTACGCAGGTGGATACTATCATGAAAAGCGAGACCTTGGCAGATGACGTAGTGGTAACACAGCCATTAGACCCATGTCTTCTCAGCTATCTACAAAGAACAATGCAGCACGTGGCCCATTAGATGTTAGATGAACCTCAGAAATACAGTACAGTTATTGCCCTAAGACAATCCGTCAGCATTCAAACAGTTGCTAAAGTGAGTAAATCATTTCTTGATCAGCATGTAAGCATATTGTCTCCTGATACTTACGGCCTTAACATCAAAAACTGTTTCTCTGGTTTTACTGTGTTGTGGCTGAGGACATTCAGTTTGATTGTGGGATAGAAGTCATACAGTAACCAGGCCTTTTATTGCTGAACAGTTCTAACTATCGAATACCATGACACCTGAGAGGTTCGTTGCAGTATACAACCCAGTGATAGGTTACTCTTGCTTAACAAGAATCGAAGATATGTATTAAGATCAACAGAGGTGCTATTACTGCACTACTTTAAGTTAAGAGAGGCAAATGGTAGCAGCCCAGACAGCTTTGTGTGGTTGGACTAAATCACCTGGTGTTGTAGACTCTAAAAGCACTAATAAATTGTTTGATTAAAGAAGAAGTTAGTTTACCTGATTTACCAGTCATGCTGGGAGGCACTTTAACCCACAGACTACCAACAGTTGACAGAGCTGGGCTGACAGGTCTTTGAAGGTAATATCTACTCACGTCATGTTTACAACTCATTTTATGACTGATTTTGGTAAGTCAAAAGACTACACTTTTCCTTTCTAAGCAGCTTTTATACATGGATTTAATTTGCTCTTCAATACTCCGTTACAATGAACTACTTGGCCAAACATACTAC